AGGAAAAGCAATAACAAGATGATGTTTCAAGCAGTTCTATTTTTTTGTACCAAGTTGTGTTATATTTTCTCATCTTATCTTTTTGTACTTATTATTAAGAAGCAGATGATCTAATACACAGAATGTATTTGTCATTTTTAGCCCTGAGTGTGTAAAACAGTCTATATTATCAGAATGTTTTTTACCAAAAGTTTCCTAGGTAGAAATACTGTATTTAACAAATGCTGGAGAACTGGCATTTTCATTTATAATCTTTTTTTCTTTTCTACCCATGGAGCAGGACAGGGGAAAAGAAGATATCCTGAACTCAGAATGAAAGACCTTTGAAAGGCTACCCAGGCTAAATCATCCCCCAGCAAAGAATAGTTCACAACAATATCAAAGTTTTCACTGCTGGGGAGCACACCATTTCACAAAAGAGTCCATGATCAATTTAGACAGTTATAAATTGTATGAAGTTCTTACTCTGAGTTCAAATTCCATCACTTCTTATCTTAATTTTATTCTTCGGAGCTATACAGACCAAGTCTCTTCACCTTCTATATTGTCCTTTGAGTATTTGAAGGCAACTTTCATGTCTCTCCTTGTTTTTTCCATCTTTATGTTAAGTATTATCAATTTCTTCAATTAATTTTCATAGGAACATGGTTTCCAGATGCTACATGAAAATTTGAGTTGCAGTTTGGCTTAAAATATTCCCTAAGTGGAACGCAAAGAATAAATCTGAAGATTCATTTCTCATTCATTTCGACCTATAGTTGACACAATTAGGGGGTCTCTCCAGAGCCCATTGATCTACCCAGGAGTAAGCCTCTCTTCATTTGACAACTGGTGAGAGAGAGGGTGGGGGCAGAGAGACAGACAGAGAGAAGACTGAGACATGGAAGTTGTTCTGTAATACAAGGTGGTTCAGGAAACCTCAACTCTCTGGCTGTAATGATGGCTGAAAGTCACAAAGCCCAAACTGAAATTAACCAAAGTCATTCTCCATGGTTTCAAAGTGGAACTCAGGAATGGCCTGCTTTCCTTTCACCTTATAGTGCTATTAAACATGAAGATCACCTTGAGAAATGAACCAATCTGATAGACTGAGATCAATATGCAAAGGACTGTGAGGAGAAAAACCAAATCTCTGGTTCCAGTCATTCCTGAAACTACCTACCCCTTCCAGTCCTAAGGTATAATTGTAAGCCAGTAATTCCTCCTTGGCTGAATAAGTTTGAGTTAGGTTTGTATCACTTGTCACACAGAGTACCTCATACAATATCCACAGAGTTCCAACTATTCTAACAGAATTAATAGAATGTGAGTCATAAAAGAGAAAAATCACCATCCTGTCCTACAAGAGGATTAGGATGGAGTATCTCCTAGCATTATCCAAGAGTAGGAGTGATACCTACTTACCAAAGATTCTGTCTGTCTTCCCCAATAGCCTAGTCTCCATAGGGATAAGACTGCTTGAAACTCTAAGAATTTCCATAGTAAGTAGGGGCTTAAGATCCCCTCCACAATATATATAGACTGCAGATACAGCAAACAAAACATTGGATATAATTATGCAAATGAAGACAAATTCCCTGGGGGGAATTTAATCAAACCATTTCTCCTTTTTAGAGTGAAAATTTCTCAGGACAATTGTGGGACTATGTTATGCCTTTAGTTGTTTTTACAACAGTAAAGAGGTGGCTCCTAAAGATTCAGTCATGAGATAAAGGGGGAAAACACAAAAAAGAAAGAAGCATATAACAACAGAAAGAATAACATACCAAAGAAATAATTGGGGGCACACCAAACTAGTGGGGAGAAATCGTCAGTAATAAGCTAAGACAGGTCATCCAGATGTGCCTTCTTCCTTTTGGCTTCCAATCCTTTCTAATCAATTTCTGTGATCAACGATGACTTCCGTGCAGGATCCACACTGCCAGCCAGGATGGTTATCATTTCATGGGCCCATGTAATCCATATGATTGTTCCTTCAACTCTTCCATGCTTCCCTTTTCAGAGATGGATTCCCGTTTCGCCTTTCTCTTGGATGTTCTACTTCCTCTCTCACCTTTTTAATAGCTTTTCTTGTCACCACCAGAATATGTATGATACTGTGGGTTTCCCCCTTCCCCTGTTCCTCATCCCGCCTCCTATGATGACTGATATTCAAACATCTGTAATTTTGAATTTCAATTGTAAATCAAGAAATTATGATTCTCAGCACAAATAATCAAAAAACGGTACCTCTGTAAGTCAACATGACCCATTTTCACTGAACTGCTCTAAGCAACTGACCTCAGGTCCTTCTGTGAAGGAAGACTTTGATCAAGGAAATATAATTAATGACGAGTATTATAATGCTACTATATACTCACAGTTTAAGTATTAAGTATTACATATCAGCATAGTATACATTTATACTATCCTAAGCATTTGCATACATTAGCTCATTTAATTCTCATAACATTTCTATGATGGACATCCTAATTACTATCTACACTTTAATGGTGAAGAAACTAAGACTCAGAGTCACTTACTACTGGTTACACAGCTAGTAAATATAAGTACCATATCTAGCTGACTCCAGGGTCCTTGCTCTGACCCATTATGTGATCCACAGGGCACTGATGTTTGCGAGGCATGGGAAGGAGATGCTGAAGGGTACCAAAAGCAGAGACTAGGGAAATAGGGAATAGGGAAATATAATCAACAGGACCTACCTTTCAATTTTGCTTAGAGTCAGCCCTATCTGAAGTAGAACCTTGTTCCCATTATGTAGCAATAGATTATCTGCCATTTTGCATTGTGAAAATGTACCCTCCATTATCCAGGCTAATCTGGCTGACTGGTAGAATGCTGTACACAGACATTACAATGACAGACAACTAATTCAATCTTCTCTGCTAGGAAGATGCTACTGTTAACGTCTCTTCAACATTTTCTCTGTAGCTTCTGATGTAAGGCACCTCACATATTCCACAACCAGTCCTTCCTACAGTATCTAGAGAAGGGAAGTAACTGAGAATTACTGAAAAGGCAGAGAGGTTGACCCTAAGGTAAAAGTATTATAAGATGTGGTACCAAAAATACTACCAGAAAAAAAATGTTAAAGAAAATCATTGTAGGGTGATTGATTACCTGATAACTTATGATTCAGAGAGAAATGAATGTTTATGGTCATCACCAAACTTTTTAAAAAATTATTTGACTGTGTAATAGAAACCATATGTTTAAATAGCCAAGGTGGAATTTTTCTACATCACAGAACAGAACGATACTAGTACTTCCTATGGAAGTGAAATCTTACTGTTTATGATCTACGCAGGGTTTATAACAGTAGCACCATTTCCTCACTCAGCAGAAACCTAATTATTTTTAGATTTTACATTCTTCTAACTCTTCTAAAATCATCCTCCACTTACTAGAACATTGGCAAAAACAATATTAATAATAAACCTCACTGAAAAGCCATCAGATGTTTCTATGTGCTAATAAATGTCTCCAGTTTTAGTGAAATCGTAACTAGGAAGCTGGCTAGCAAACTCTTCAGGGTCAATCAGAAATATGCAACATCTAAATAAAAAGAGTACAACATGGGCTGAAATGTACAGAGACAATCTTGCTGACATAATAGTGCTGTATGTTACGAAGTTTAGAAGTAATATGGGTTTGAAAACTGACCTAAGATAAAATAGAGTGGGAGGGTCTAAAATACAATAGAATATTGTGACACCATTACAAAATTCTAAAGCAAAAGGCCCTTAAAATATACTAAGGGGAAAGCCTAATGCCTTCATTCCAAGTCCAGCTGTTTCTTTAACCAATATCCACAAAACAGGGAAAGAAGCAAAGAGGAGAGAAAGTATTTGAAAAACTGCCAAAGTTTTTAAAAATCCATAATAAAGTTTTGCTCATTCCAGGAGAAATGAAGTAGAATTCAAGGCTTCAGTGACAGCAAATTCCAAAATCTGGGTAGTGTCCAATAAAATAAGCTTTTCCACAATGTCAAATGCAAAAGCTATCTGACATCACATATTGAGCTGAGTGTTTAAATTCCTTCTTCCTTACACCAAATTGCTTGAAACCTTTGAGATAAAATCTTCAGTAAAGTAGTGTTCCAAGCTTTTACTATCACAGCCCCTTGAGGAGGCATGTCAGAGTAATGTTCGGATTGCAATGGGCAGAAAGAGCATTCGACCAAATTCTTAAACCCATGCCTCTCTGGAAGGATGCTAATAATGTCAGCGGTTTCATTGGCTATCAAGATTTCAAACTTTTCTAATCCTCAACTCCATTACTATATTTAAGGGGGGAGCATTCCATCCTAAAAACGGGGGTCTTATTTAGGGTTAGGGTTAGGGTCTTATTTAATCTTTCTATCCACTTACCACGTTGCCGGGCACACAGTAGGGATTTAACAAATACTTTTGAAATAAGATGATGGCAAGGCCTAGGCAAGGGGGAGAACTGAAATCTTGCTGAGAACAGCATAAATCCAAATGCCGGCTGTGCTCAGCGACGAAGACCATCTCCAGAATTGGGGCTACCGGGGCAGAGCAGGAACGTGCACGTGTATCTTCAAAGCGGCATCAGAGGACTGGGCGAGCTGCCACCCAGGGGCCACTTATGAAGGGACTGGCCCAGGTTCGCGGTGCCTGGAAAACTCCTGCCCTGCCTCTCTACTCCCAGCTCCTCCTGCTTTTGGGTTCCTTCCATCACAGAACTTAAGCCCAAGATTCGACCTGCCCGGGCTGCCCGGACCCTCGAACCCCCTGGCCATCCCACTGGGGTTTCCGGCGTCCTCTCCATGGAGACCACATCATGCTAGGGACCATATAGGTCACACACCCAAGGACGGCTCCAGACACCTCTGAAGGTGAAAGGAAGTGGCCAGCAGCACTGGGGTCTGGGGAAGAGCGAGTTCAAGGCCTCGGCTCGGTCCCGGTCCCGAGGTTGGGCTCCACGCTGGGGGAGAGGGGCGGGGAGGTGACCGGAAGCGCAGGACGGGACGTTACCTGCTGTGGCTGTGGTTGCGGGGACAGTCCTTCTTCTCCATGATGGCCGGCACGCAGTTGGTGAGCTCTGTCCAGTCGGCGTGCAGCCCGCAGCTCCAGCCGGTGGAGAAGCGGGAGAAGAGCCAGGTGTCCTTCTTGCCGGGCCGGTGACAGGTGCACTTCTTCTGGCCGGCTTTGCAGCTGCATGGCTGCTCCAGCCGGATGTTCTTCACCAGGTGCCGGCCGAACGTGGTGCCCCCGGTCTTCTGGATGTGCAGGAACACGATCACGTCGCGCCCTTTGATGTTGAAATCCACGAACCGGGTCAGGTCCTTCAGGGTGAAGTTGAAGCGCGGCACGAACCGGGGAAGGGAGCCGTTCTCGGGGGCCTCGGGGTCCGGCTCCTCTTCCTCCTGCTCCTCTTCCTCCTCCTCTGGGTCCCCTGGCTCCTCGTCCTCGTCCTCCGGGGCCGCGGCTCCCTGAGACCCCTCGGGCGGCCCCCGGGGCGGCGGGGGCAGCTGGGGTCGCCGCTCCCACTCTTCCGGGGGCGCCTGCGCCCTGCGAGCGGGACTCGGGGCGGCGGGCGGGCGGGCGTCCCGGGCGCGGGGCTGCTCCCCGAAGTTGCCGCAGGCGCTGGAGCAGGAAGGGGACACGTACTGGTACATGATGACCACGAAGAGGAGAGCGAGCACGGGCGTCAGCAGCCACTTGTTGAACCTTTCATCCATGGTCCCGCTCTCAGGCCGGCAGGCGAAGCGGCGGCGGGGGCGCGGACGGGCGCCTGCTCAGAAGTTTCGGGGACTCCGGGGCGCGGCTCGGAGCCCGCCGCTCCTCCATGCCCCTGCCGCCGAGGCGTGCGCTGCCTGGCGGCCCCGCTCCGCTCCGGGGCTGGCGGCGCGGGAGGAGGACGCGCGGCGCGGCTGCGGCCCCGGCGCGCTCCGGCTCGCGCGGTTCCGGGTCAGGCGACGCAGACAGAGCCTCCCTGACGCTCAGGCGCAGGGGAGCGACCCGCGCCGGGCAGCAGCCGGGCAGCTGGGCAGCTTCAGCGGGGAGCGCAGGGGCCGCATGAGGCTCTCCAGGGTGCCCGCCAGCGGCCAAGGCGCGGCCCGGGCCCCGCCGCCCCTGCGCACCGCGCCTCGCAGGCGCGCCCGGCACCTGCGCGGCTAAGTGGGGGGCGCGGGAGCCGCGAGCAGGGCGAACAGCGCCCGCCGCAAGTTTGCAGAGCGGCTTCCTCCGCGGCCGCAGGCGAGGCGCCTCCGCCACGCCGCCTCTCTCGGGCGAGTCGCACTGCTGCTCCGGTCGGCCCGCGCTGGCGCAGGCACGCAGACACACTCGCACACTCACAGGCTGGCACTGTCACAACCCGCCAGCCGGTGTGACGGGAGCCCCGCTACCCGCAGCAAAAACCTGCTCTAGGTACCGAGCATGCGCCAAAGCCTTCCCCAGGCCGGGAGGAGTTTCCAGGGGAGGAGTCGGCTGCACCGTGGGGCTCTGAGGAGGCAGCTGGGGGTGAAAAATCCCTTCAGCCCGAAGCCGGGAGAGAGGAGGCAAGAAAGCTAAGGTGGCTCGAGGAAAGGCCCCCAGGAGGTCGTCTCCGGTGCTGATCTGATTCCTCTAAATCAGCAGCTTTCTTGGCCAAAGTGGATAGCGAACCTGGACGGCCTTACGTGTAGAAGTAACACCCCATATCGCTGGAAGACCCAGCTAGAGCAGACTTCCTACGGCTTGGCTGGTCCTACCAGGGCAAGGGAATTGGGCTCCACACTGCATTTCATTTCTACCCAAGACATTCTAACGATGCTCAAGTCTTATTCCGGTCCTTCCTTAACTACGAACTTTAGCGCGCCCAACTCTGCAACTTTATTGAATCAGCATCTATGAAGCGCCTACTGTGTATCGGCTGTGTTCAAAATACAGTTCTTAAAAAAAAAATACAGTTCTTTCTTTCAACACCAAGACAGCCCAGCCCACAACCAGGCAGAACATAGGAGTGTAGGGATCACCTCCTAATATGCGTTCAGCTTCTCCATGTCCCTCCTTTGCACCAGTGTGAAAGGTGAGACTGACTCTTACCTACATTTCTTAAGCCCTTCTTTGTTTGCAGATGTTTTTGAAAACTCTTATTCCAGCAGTCAGATTTTACATTTATCCCGGAACCATATCTTTGCTTTAAAACAACGTCTGTTTTTCAGATAATGAATGAACGCGCCAAGGAATTGGAGTGATTGCCCCAGCACAAGTCCTAGACCTGCTTGACTTGTTTTTCCAAATGGACAGGAGGCAGGGGTTGAAGGTGGGCTCGATGCAATGCGCATCCCTGGCCTGACAGCTGCGCCCCACAACACTTTCACTGCTGCCTACCTTCCCACTTGGGCTCTGCAGGGATCGCAGTCGTTTCTTCCTGAGACTGCGCTGATCTCTTCTTCCATTTTTCATGTCCATCAGTTAAAATCCAGATCTCTTTCAGGAATGCAAAAGCTTGCCCATAGAAATTTATTTTTATTGTTCTAGACAGGTGCGATTCTTCTCAATAAAGCTTCTCTCCTCTGCTTCTTTTCCTGTTTTCAACTCTATAAACAACCACATACTGCTCTTCCTGATACTGTAGGAGCCTATATTTGTAAGAAAGGTGTTGGTATAATGAATCAGCTTCTCTAAAGCTTGATTCCATTTCCTCTCACTCAGGTTTAAAATTCTATTAATGGCATCACACTACACTTGAAAGCAAGAAATTGTGATAGAACAAGAACCTAATAATTATTTCTTGAGTGTGTCTGGTTAATGGGTTACTTGTTTATGGGTTTTTTAAAAAAAAACTTTATTTTAATCAAGTAATAAAATCATCTTTTATATTATTTTATTTGAGAAGTTTCTTCTTATCTTTAAAATTGCTTGATATCACATAGACAAATGGAACCTTCCTAGCTACCCAAATGGATAACCCAGGGCTAGTGGTAATTTACATACTGGAAAGCACTTTTCTACTCATCAACTCTCCTTCTCAGTTCAGTACTCTAAGGAGATAAAGAAAGTATAATAACCCACTTTAGAGATGGCAAAACTGAACCATGGTCAGGTAGGTGAAAGCAGTCAAAATTAGAAATGACCCACATCCCTGAAATGCGTTCAAATCACCACTGAAGAAATCCAGTGAACATCAGTAACCTCATAAGTTTCTCTCTCTCTCTCCTCTTGAGACGCTTTACATCAGGAGGCAAGAACTGCATTGTTTTCCCTCCACCCCTGGCTTTATAGTCAAAACTGAGCAATTCTACATCCTGCAGTCTTTTGGTACCTAGCCTATGACTTTCCAGATAAAAAGAGGAAAGACAGTAACAATTATAAAATAATTATGTCATTATTAAAAGAAGTCATGTAACAGCTGTGTTGCTAATAAAACGGATGTGTCCATAAATAAGTACACCCTTAGCACTTTTCAAAGAATATTATCCCCAAAGAGCTTTCAGGAAAATAGCTAATGGAGTGCTACCATTTCTCCAAAATAATTGCAAGGAAAACAATGCATAGAATCCAGGCAATTATACAGATAATTCAGGCATGTACCTGGGTATTCATTTTTAATGATAGGTAACTTTGGTTGGGTAAACACAGTCTGTCCCAGGTGTGGTCTTCTTATTACAATTGTGGAACTTGGTATGAACCTAATCAAAGCTCTTAAATCACAAAATAAACAGGCTTCCTTATCTACTAGGGCAGACCTCACATGCCAGTGAAAATGAATAGAAACTTTCTAAAATTGAATGCTCTCCAGGTAAAAAGGAAAAACATGTTTGCATTCACCCTACTGTAGTTACTCCACGATGACACCAGCTGGCAATTGTTTCTGGCTAACAGATTGCAGTTACTATGATTCCTACACAAATATTAAAATAATAAAAATGATGCTTCAAAGAGCTTTCCTCCATTTCCTTTGCCAGTCTAGCAAAGAGCTTAACACTATCTGTGAGGCAATTTGTTCACCTAATTGTTTGCCTTAATAAGCTTTACTACAATTATTTTCTTCCTGATTCTTTCCCTACCTTACCTTTAGTACTCTTCCTCTCTGTTTTTCTCAGATATTCTCAACCCTGTTAGTAACATTGCACTCCCCCAGGATTTAAACTTTTGATTAGAACAGTCCCTATTTAATCAAGTTCAATTGAGAGATAAAATTGCATCTCAACTTCTCTGTTTTCCCTTTGGTGCCAGAAACTGCCTTTGAGAATCCTGAGGAAACCCTGGAGAGATTAACAATACAAACAATCACAGAGAATAGTTTTGGATCCACTACATTTGCACACAGGAACATATGATAGATATGAATACCCCTCAATGCAGATGTAAAACAAAATAGATTATGTCAATCATTGTCAGTGTGAATCTCTCAAGGAATAGAAAGTGCTCTTATACATTGAAATGATTTCTTTCTCATATTTGTAAACATTCACCCCAATCACCAAATAACCCTAGGTTAAGCAGTTTACAGATAGCACCAAAGTGGTAGCTTTTTTTCTTAAAAAATTAAACAGCAGAATTTGTATAGCCAGGGCAAACTGTGGAAAAAGATGTAATACTGTATTCAAGTCCACTACATGATTGTAACTTTGGAATAAGCATGACCTTACATATTGCTTCCCATAAAGTTCTATTTATATGCACAAGGCAGTTTTTATTTTAAAATATAAAATTCTTTACTCACCATTAATGGAAGCCTATAGTGAATGGAAATTATGCTAACTGTGTGTAATGTATTCATTAAGTCAGTAGAGTGTATGTAAATGCATTAATCTTTTCACAATGGATATATATGTATTTCAATTAGGACTTGAGTACTTAGTACATACTGAGTACACTACTGAGTGCTTTAGATACATCATTAAACAAGACCAATAAGGAACTTGCCTTCATGTACTTTATGTTCCAAAAGTAGAAATATAAATGATAAAGAAATAAACAAGATGGATTCACTTACTCCAAAGATATATGTTAAGATGCTACCATGTGCTAGATACTTTTAGGTACATAGGTTAGATTAGTGAACAATAAAGATAATAACTCTGACCTCAAGAGGTTGAATGCAAGCAATATAAAACAATACAGATGAAGGTAGAGAAATAATGGGACATGCATCCTATCAAGTCTTGTGGGCCATGGTAAGAATTTTACTATTAGAGAAGTGGAGAGCCTCTGGAAAGTGTGAAAAGTTTGGTCATTTTGATTGTTTTCTTGAGAGTAGACTGTAAGAAGGCAAATGTAGAAGCAGGAAAAACAATTAAGTGGCTATTCCAATAACCAGGTGAGATATATGGTGGCTCAGACCATGACAAGAGGCTAGCAGAACAGGGAGTGGAAAGAAGTAAGATTAACTGCATTTTCTGGAAAGAACCAAGGATATTCCCTGATGAACCAAATGTTGGGGATAAAAGGAAGAGAAGAATCAAGGAATGCCAAGACTTGGGGCCTGTCCAATTGGAAGGATAGAGATGCCACCAACTGAACATCAACTGAGATCATTACAAGTGCTAGAGGGGAAATAAATGAGATGATGTGACAAAGATTAAGTGGCAGGAGTGGAGGGAAAGTGATAGAGCTTTTCACTGGGCAGTCAGAAAAGACAGTAGCTACATGAAGACAACAGGGCTGGGTCCAGAAGAAATACTATACAATGAATTAGTCATTCCAGATGTCCTGGAGAAGAGGTTTCTCAACAAAGCAGTGAGTGCAAAGGTCTGGAGTTGGAAAGAGCCTGCAGGGCTTAAGATAGAGACCTAGCAATAGAGAAGGAGGTGTGGACAGTTTGTTCAGAG